TTAAAACATGTCAAGTGCAAGTTACAAAGTGGTTTACTTTGTTTCATAGAGTTACTGATCTATTATCCTATTTTTCTGGCCATGCTCAGGAATGGGAATGATGTTTTGTCTATGAAAGTTTAGTATATACTATAGAGAGGTTTATAAGTGTGTGAAAGAGACCATGAATGTTTGTGATTACTCTGAAGTGCTCATAACACTTGTATAAGTAACCAATACAACAGTGGAATTTCACACATCACATCTTTGCTTAGTCTTTCAGCATAGTCGAGAGACTAAACTGGTAAAGTTTTCTATGTATTAGCTTGACAGTGAATTGTTTTCCATTTTTTCCTGTATTTTCTTGCTTTCTTACCTAATCAGGCAGTTATGCTTGACTATACCATGCAAAGTATATGCATATGTGCATTATAAGGTATAGGTAGTCTGTTGTTAATAGCTTATGCATTTGTTTGGGAATGAAAATAACTGAAATTTAACTTAACCTTCATTACATTTGGGTTTGTTTTGTTCTAGGATCATTTAGAACTTAATCTGACCTAACATTCAGACTTGATGGTATTGTGGATTGCACTTTTTATGATCCTTGTTAGTTTTCAAAGCAAGTGGTGTTACTAAATTGCATCTTTTTCTGTCATATACTGTATGTATACACTATATAGATATGTATATACATATATTTCCTAAATTGATTTGCAGGTCTTGAAGAAAGTTAGTTTTAACTCCCCCCCCCTACCACCTACCCTTATTTACAAGCATTGCTACTTTGAATAGATCTTTAGTTTTCACAAAAATAGAAAAGTAACTTAAAAGTTGTCCCATCCATTTGCCTATGGTTAAATGGTTAAGAAATTCATATATTATGATATATCTGTTGTGTGACTATATCTCCATCAGCATCAGTGTATTTGTATATATTTATGTATGTATGGAGAAACTGGAAAAATGAGAGCTTGTAAGAGAGAGTGAGTGTGAATAAGAAAGTGTGAGTCGAGTCAGAAGGTTGGCTTGACACATGTCTCGGGAGAATTCAGCGTCGCTAGCTGACCATGGGAAAACTGAAAGATCTCTTGTACAGCAGACCAGAAGCATATTTGTCATTTGAATTTTGTAAAGAATGTTGGTGATGTCTTATGAAATGATGTGAAAGAATGCAAGGTATAAGGCCTATCAAGTAGTACCAGCATAACTGAGGGGAAGGTTGACTGGTTGTTAAATAGATGAATAGATACTCATATTTATAGCTTGTGTGTGTGCATGCATGTGTACATTCTCATGTATTATGAAATAGCTTATGTGGTTGCTTATGTGTGCATGTGTGAGTGTGGCATAGTATGTCTGTATATACATACAATTTTTGTGTACGTATGTGTTAATATAGAGATAGAATAGATTGTTAGATTAAATAGATGATATCTAGTTAGATAAGTAGATAGATAGATAGATAGATAGGCAGACTGGCTATTGGGAATTCAGAAGCAGTACATAAGGCTTAAACTTTCAGAGGTATGCAGAGTTCTCCTTGCGTTATTTTTACTGGATTTAGTGCATTTTCAAATAACCACTGTGATTAAAAAAAAGAAAAAAAAAAAGATTGTGTGTTTTCAAAGAGTTCATATTATGAATAGAAAATCTGAAGATTCACTGATATTGTTACTAATTTCTAAGTAACAAAGTTTTCATTGGTGAGGGTTAGGAGTAATTAGTAGTTTGTTCAGACAAGATATGAACATGATTGATGTATCCTGTGCCCTGTTATATACTGAGCAGATATATATTTCAAATTGTGATGCACAGTTTACAAATGAAGATTCTTTTTGGTAATATCTGTGTTTGTGAAATTTAATCATGTGCATGTTCGGTTTTATTAAGTGGTTATCTTTTAGTTTCTCCATTACTGCTGTAGATGTTTCCGTAATGCACCATTGGTGATATTTTTCACTGTGTCCTTTAAGTATCTGAAAATTCTGGTATAGATTGCTCTAAGGAAAGTATTTTGCTAGCTCAACAGTGTTTCTAGTAGTTGCATTTCTACTGTATTAAATTATGTGAATCTTGATTATGAAAGTGCACAATTGTGATATTGTCAGCAATGATCCATACTTCACTGCTGTCAAATTCTGTTGGAAGTAAATTCGTTTAAGACTACCAAGCCTAGTCTTAAAGTTTAGTATGTGTGTTTTGTACTGTCAAAACTTTCTGTTAAGAATTTAATAAGCACAATGTGTTATAATTTTGCATAGCCATTGTCATAGTTCAGTGGGTGTTTTTAACTGGAGATTTTGAACTTTATATTTAGTAACGGTTTGTGAAGTGTTTTGATGTTGTAAAGATATTTTCAGAATCATACAAGATATTATCAGGTTATGCTTTTTGTTAGAAGAGAAATACTACTGTGAGCAATGTGTGCCTGATGCAGAAGTACCAAACAAAATACAGATATGAAAGAGTGCGTCTGTATTTTGTATTTTGCCGTAAATGAAGTAATAAAGTCATTTATGGCTCCTAATGTTGCCTGACTCATGTATACTAGACATGAGGAAGAAATCTTTCATTTCCACTCATCATGATTCAATATTTTATCATCTATAATTTTGAACTAGAGATGGACTTTGTGATTGTAAATATTACACTGAATAAAGTATGTAGTGTATGCTTAGTACTTTTATTTTGATTGTTGATAGAGCGGTAAAAGCAAGTATTGTTACGAGTGTATGATATTTTGAATATATTTTATGATTCAATAAAAACGAAGAATAATATCCTATGGTTTTACAACCCAAGTAATATAGCAATGCATCAAAAAGTAGGAATGTGTGATCTAAGTGTCCATATCCTAAGATGCGAGATCCATTTGGCTGACTTTGGATAGGTTCTGAATGGCCTCAGGGAGCCATGGCCATGGTATTCCCCTTTTTAGTTATCTTGCCCTTGCCCCTCATGAAGACCCCTAATCCCCTGCTCATTGTTGTTGTGGGGGCTAACGAGAAGGGGACTGGGACCCAGTGCTGGGGAACTTACCTACCTTGGGCCTCAGCCTTGACTGAACTAATTTTGCATGGTCTTTTCCCCTTCCTGATTTTTTGTTTCCGTCCCTTCTCCAACCTCTTTTACTATCCACTTCCTAAGGTGTGAGAGCTGTGTTGATAGGATGAAAGGCTGAGTTTATGTCAGTCCTGAACAGCCTGGGGAGCCATAGGCACAGTATTCCCCCGTTTAGTTGTCTAGCCCTTACACCTCAAGGGGACCCTGTTTCTCTCCCCAACATACTCTAGGCTTACTGTGGCCAGTAATTAAGATTTTATACCCTTGTTAAGGGCAATGAGCCTGCCTCTTCATCAAATAGCTCCACTCTCTCAGTTCATATGTGCCCAACCTGGTCAAACCGGTTAAACTGCTCTGCACAGTCACGCACATGTGCCAACTGTGGTGGCCCCCATAATGTTTTTGTAGGGGTTTCCCCAGCTACAAATTTGAGTCAGAGGTGGCAACTCTCAGATTCAGATTTGGTCTCACTCTGCATGAAGCTGGACAGGAACCACGTTAATGAGTTTTTTCTCTCACTCCCTACCCACAGGTCCAGCTCCACCTACATTAATCCTCCCTCCATCCCCACTATCCCTTCCAATCCCTCCTGGAAACACACGTGAATCCCTTACGTCACAGCTATGCCCTTCCCCAGATCCTCCACCCCCTGATACTACACCACTCCCCCCCTCTCATTCCGTATCTCACCCCCTAGCTCCTTCCCCTTCACATTCTCCAGTACGCATTGTAACCGTTATATCTTGTAAACCAACCAAGCAATAGCTCTCCCGCACTGGAATATTCGCAGTTTCTGTTCTCACAGACCCTTTGTCATATTTTTCCTTCTTGTAATCCATCCATTATCTGTCTCCAAAAGGCTATTCTTACACATCCTCCTATACCAATTCCCATTTTGTTTCTTCCCCACACTCCCTATATGTCTAAACTTATCAATCAGAAAACACCTTATTTTATACCTCCATTCCAAACCACTGTCCCTTGTACAGTTATTCGCCGCTGGATCAGTCTCCTTCTCCCCCTCTCAACCCTATTGACTTTGTTACTTTTGAAATTCTAATTTCCCAACTCCAGCCACCTTTGCTCCTAGTTGGTGATTTTAACTGCCGCCACACTCCACAATATCCTTAATTCGGGTCGCTCCAAACACTGACATGCGCACGCAATCTCTTTCATGCCTCGACCTCTCTCTTCTTATAATGCGCTCTACTCTTATACCGTTCTTCTGGTAAATTCCTCGGTGTTATTTTGACTCCAGATTGTTCTGGCAAGGCCATATCTTTTACACTAAAGAAAAAGCTCGCCGCCGCCTTCAAATCTTACAGACCTCTCTCTTGAGGTAGATGTGGAGTGTCCTGCCCTGTAAGACCATATCGAACCCCCTCTGTCAGTGTCAGAGATATTGACGTTTTTGCCAAGCATTGTCACCCCACAGCCCGCTGCCCTCTATGTGCCAAACCTGGCCGTGATCGTTCAAACTGCCATGCGTAATTGCACACGTGGGTTAATTATGATTTATTTATCTTATAGGGGATGCCTTACCTGCAAGTTTAATATAATTATTTTATTACTTCCCCGGCATCCATTTTTTCCTTCTCCCTCACTGATTGTTTCATAACTTCCACACTGAAATATTCTGTTTTCTGTTTTCACAGACCTGTATCTTCCACTTGGTCTACACCCCTCCCCCATTCTCCTATTGCTAATCCATGCCTTACTTATTTACTCACCCTCTTTAACTTTTTCAATATCACACTATCCAAAAATGCTGTACGACTTTTGATATGTAGCATATCTGGTCATTAACTCATTAACCTTCCTCTTTACCCTTTTCACTACTATGCTTCCCTTTAGTGCTGTATGACCGGTGATGCCTAGCACATTTATTTGCTTTTTAACCTTTAACCATTGCAATTTTAATTTTGCCAGTGATGTGTATTCCAAAAGCGAAAAAA